GGACTTCTTTGATTCAGGATCTCAGGTGAACTATGTTCAAGCTAATAGTAGGCAGGTAAGAGTACTGGGCAGTACAGATATTCCCCATTATCATTGTTATTGCTATTGCATTGCATTTAGAGTCAAGCTATTTGTACTGTATTTAAGATCTTTACTACCCTAAATATCAGGTAGGCTAAAAACCCAAGTGTTAAGATAGGTCTATTAAAGAGGGGTTAAATCCAAACAAGAAAGTGTTCTAGCTAGTATAGACATTGTTTCTAGCAATATATTCTATGGCAGGTTGTTAACAGTATCAGGACTAAAGAATAGTTTAGATTTGGTAGAATGTCCAGTCAAGGAATACATCCAACAGTTCAGGCAATGGTAAAAACAAGCAGAAGGGACTTAAGGCAGTAAAGAGATGTTTTCCAGGAAAAGCTCTGTAGCTTCAGCACAACTGTAAATTCCAAGGGACTGTTTATTAGAGTCTTGATGACCTGACAGGGGCTCTAACCTGTAAACTGCTACATCAGGTAATCTTGGGGAGCAATGCACCTCAAAAGGATTGTCTCATAAGCTCTGGGATCTTTTGCTGGGCTTTAATGTGAGCTGCCAGAGAGAGCAAATCCTGTTTGCATTCACAGAGACACAACAACACTTAGAAAGGAAAGCTTATTCATCAGAAAATAGAAAGCAGACACAAACTTTTAACCTGATGTTGCCTAGGCAGCAAATACCCTTATTTCATGCTAATGTTACTCTCTTATTCTAAAGAGATAAAAAGCTTACTGCATAACAGGGAGGGAAGCTAAGAAAGAGGGACTTCCTACTGAAATCTCAATAGGTTTTCTTTTAGTGGCATTATGTTCAACTGTGATCAACCTGCAACCCCGTTCACTTGCACTATTTTCAAACCAGCTATGTCACATCCTGTACTTGTACACTTGTTTTTTTCCCTTCCTAAATGCAGAACTTTGCAGTCACCTTGCTTAATGCCTCTTTGGTTTTTTCAGCCCAGTTCTTCATTTTATTCAAGCCACTGTAAATTGTATTTCTGTCTTGAGAGGTGTTAACAATTCAATCTTCTGTCATCTGCAATATGGTAAAGATTCCATCTACTCCTTAATTGAAGTCATTCATAAACTTCTAACTAGTCATTCATAAGTTCTAATTAAGTTATTTATTACTGAGTAACGGCATAATCCCTGGCAAGTTTTAAAAAAGGCCTATAACTCCCAGCCACTGTACTATGGTGGATTCAGTTTTTGGCTTTGTACTAACAGACCGTCATAAAGAATTACTCAGGAAAAAATTTATCTATTTTTGTTTATTAAAATTAAAATATACTTATTACATCAAAATACTTTGCATAAAATAAACATTGTAATTATTATAAAAGAGAGCATTGATAAAAATGTTAAGATCTTAATAGCTTAACAGGGAATAGCATTTCCTAAAGATGTCTTCTGATCAAATACAACTTGCTCTAATATTATATAAGAAATATTCATATCCAAGTACCAACTTCCTTACTCATATTATTACTCCTTATATTACATTACTGCTTATATTTATTGTGAATAAGCAGTTCAGCTGATGGGTACACAGGCTGGTGAATTTCTAAACGATAAGGGTTATTACAGCAAAGACATCAACACATATTTATACACTTTCTACAATATAATTTTATTATTAACATAGTATTTAATATATTTTGGACTCACAGACTGGGTTCACACTGTTGGGTAAATTGTACCCAGTAATTAATCTCCTGAGAATACTTGTGCCAATTTGTAGGCTCAAAACTACATTTTATTAACAGGTTTCAGCTGAAGGGTGAACAGCTACTTTAAAACCAAAGTGGTCTTCACACCTTTGTGGTGCAGTTCAATAAACTTTTATACCCTGGCTATCAGCTCCAATTACTACTCTCTAATTGTGAGCCATTAAAAGTGGTAAATCAGTCAAGATTCCTTATATGGTCAGCAAGACCTGATCATTTTACGTGTTGCATAACATACAGCCTGTGCTCATTTTATACTGATAACTGCTAGGCTGCATTTATCTAACAACACAACACAATAAACCATGGGGCTTATAAACTAGGGATGGTTTGTTGTGTTAACCTGAACCCAGTTGCCTAGTTTGTTATACACTATGGGTAGGTGGGTTCAGACAATATGACAAGTTACCTTACCTTACAGGCCCCAATTACTTATATTGTTTGAACCAAATCACTGCATTAACTTAAAATAAAATAAAAATTACCTTCTAAAGCAATCCTTTGACACTTAAACATGCTTAGCAGGCTTAACCATATCTTTCATGCTAGAATAAATTCTGAATTATATCTTTAATGCTCAGACCACCTTACTCCAAACTGAATAATTAAACCTAAGTGATATTCTTAGTTACAGGGTGCAATCCTATCAATTGGACCCTTTATGCTTGGAAGCATTGGAAGACTTAGAAGCATCCAGTGCATTGTAGAAGGAGCAGTGGTGGCTCCACCTAAATTTTGTCTAAGAAACTGCAAACACAAGTATGCTGGGGTATACAATAAAAAAGTACAGTTTATTCGTACATACAAGAAATCATGCAGCATGTAGGTAGACCCCAAGGGGATTATGAAGATGAATTCTGTGCATGGTTTGGAAGAGGGTGGGGGATCAGGTCAGCAGTTTGATAGAAGCACATGAGAGTGGAAACAAAAGGATTGAATGGATTAAGACAAGGGGAAAAAACACAAAAGGCTTCAGAACAGGCTTAAAGGTACATGTATATATAAAGGATGTGGTAGAAATGCTTTTAATAAATAAATAAAATGAGGAACAAGACTTGCAACATGGATTCCTGTTCAGATCAGGATCACAGCATGACAAGTCTAGAGCTGTTCTTGTGGCAGCTATAATATGGCAAAAATTTTGCCCATTTTGTCCTGACACTGCCCATAACCCTCCTAGCTTTGTATTATAGCTATCAAGTGTTGGTCAGAAGGAGAGTGGGGGCAAAAGATTTTCAGAGCTTATTTCAGCTTGCCAAGTCCTTTGCCCTGAAGCATGAGGCAGAGAGGCTGAGACCCTGCCAGGATACCTGCGCTGGCAGACCCTCACTCCTCCTTTCTGCATATTCTCACAATGTTCTGCAATGTTCACAAAGTTCTGGCTCTGAGGTTGGTCTTGTGACCTCTGAGCTGCATCCAGTATGGTTCTTTGTGCACCAGGTGCGAGGCTGGGGAGAGGGTACTTGGAATCTTAGGTTTGACCCCAAAGTGTATTTCCTTGGTCTCTGACCTCTTCTTTGGCTTTCTAAAAGCAACAATATTGCACCCTCACTTCTTTTGACTTACACTTTCAAATTAATAATTATGTATAATTAAATGTGTGGTATTTGATAACAAGAAACCTTGCATTACTTTGATGGATGTGAGTTAGCACATTCACTTCTCAGTGATTCCAATAAAGGAAGATTAGCTATTTTCTAAACACCCAGGGCAACACCATAGGGAAGCAAACAATGGGTTGCATTGGTGCAACTAAATCAGTATTCTATGAGTGGCAAGAGTGTTTTGTTTTTTAATATTGCTTGTTCTGTAGGGGATTGCTCTGGTAGAACTGAAATTCTCATACCATTACATTTTAAAGGATTTCAGTTGTCACAAATGTAGCCATGCTCTATGGCTGGTCCTGTATTATTCAAAGACTGCACTGCTCCTTAGCCATACAAGTAGTTTAGGTCATAATCCTTTATACTTAGCAGAAACTTAGTGGCCCTATTCCGATGGGAGTACAATGTCTAGCAATACTTTATGAATTAATGAACCCATAAATTGGGGTATGTGCATTGCAAACCATAGGTTAACTTGTACTTTTTAGAAAATCACAACTACACCCCAAAGTGCCCTGGGTTGGATATCATGGAAGCAACCTACAAATGCAGCATTTGTAGTTTTATTGCTGAAAACTGAAAATGAGTGTGCAACCAGGCAATTTCTGGGTTGATTTCTATTCCATTCAAACAGGGTCAATGGGACCTTTATCTGAGTATACATGCAGATGATTGAATTCATATTGTCTGGAGTTTTACCTGCTATCTTCGAGCAGCAATTTTCAGAACCACTATATAAGTGAGATATAAAACTAGGTTATTTTAAAAAATGATAATGTACAATGTTTTATATATAATTGTTCTGCATGAAAGGTTAAAATAGCATTTTAAATAGGGTTCTGAGGAGCACTGTTTGTTAAGGTTTAGCCCTATCCAGAACTATATACACCCAGGACAGACTCAATAAATTCTGTTGAGAGCAAAATAGCAAATCTCCACTCCCAAGCCAAGGTGTGTCGAACTTAAACCAGGCCCAGTTATTATGGCTCCTAAAACCAGAGCCAGTGTGGTGTAGGAGAGCCAGTGTGGTGTAGTGGTTAAGAGCATGGGACTGGGACTCAGAGGATCTGGGTTCTAGTCCCCGCTCAGCCATGGAGCCAACTGGGTGACTTCGGGCCAGGCAGAGACTCTCAGCCCAACCTACCTCACAGGGTTGTTGTTGTGGGGATGAGATGAGAGGAGGAGAGATGATGTAAGCTGCCTTGAGCCCTTTGTAGGAAAAAGGCAGGATATAAACCACAATATAAATATATAAATAAATATAAAACAGAAAATTCCATAAGCTCTTCTCCCTGGAAATAGCCATACTATAATAAGTTAAGTAAACATTAGCTGCCGTTTCCGAGCAACCAGCATCAGCGCCCTCCACTGAACCGCAACACCAACTCCGTCACAGAATCATTATAGATTCCGCCTAAGGAAGACTCGGTTCTTTTGTCTATCCCTTCTTTCCCATCGTCTAGGCGGGAGGGGAATGCGCAAGCGCACTGCATTTCGAAGGCGAACGCGCTGGTCGGCCGCTGTTCAAATTTCATGCGCCTGCGTAATAAGGAAGCGAGAGGAGGAGGGCACGATTCTTGGGAGGAGCGACGTTAGGAGTCGTCAGTGGGTAGTGCTGTCGCCGCCATTTTAGGTTTCCCCCTCCCCTTTTTCTCGTTGCTGGTGTTTGAGGCGAGACCTCTCCGTGGGGTTCGTTCTCCTTCCAGCAGTACTACGGTAAATAAGGGCAAGGAACTCGAGCTATGTCTGCTAACAGGAACCTGAAGCAAGTGAAGATCGAGAACAGTTCCCCGGCGGCCGCTCCGCCGATGAGCATGGTGGGCGGCGGCACCATGAAAGGGCTGAGGGGTTTGGAGCAGCCGACAGAGAACGAAGCGCTGGCGGCGGCCATGGTGATGGTGAAGGAAGAGGAGGAGCAGAGTGGCGGCGGCTTCACCGTTGACATAAAGAGTTTCCTCAAGCCCGGCGAGAAGAGCTACACGCAGCGGTGCCGTCTCTTCGTAGGAAACCTGCCCACCGATATCACCGAGGAGGATTTCAAGCGCCTTTTCGAGCGCTATGGGGAGCCCAGTGAGGTCTTTATTAACCGTGACCGCGGCTTTGGCTTCATTCGTTTGGTGAGGAACTGCGCCTTTTGGGAAGGCTGTGTGAGGAAGTGAATGAGAGAGGAAGGAAGGAAGGAAGGAAGGAAGGAAGGAAGGAAGGGGCTTTTTCCTATCTTCACGCGTTAAGATAACCGCTTGTTGCCCTTCTTTCTTCCCCTGAGCACGAGGTCGTGAGGAATCTTTCTCTGTCCCCCCCCCCCCGGAGACTGAATCTGCAGCAGACCCCGCGAGAGTGTGACGCCCCCCTTTTTGTTGCCGTCGGCGCGCACCTACTAAGCAAGCCCCTCTTCCCCTGAGGACAACGTGCGCGCGAGTGGTCTCTGCATTTCGGTGCCTGCTCTGGCTGGAGGTTCTCTTACCACTTTTTGCGGTTCCTCACAGCAGGAGTAGGTTGTCACAATATAGATAGGGATTTAGTAGCAGAATTTTCCCCAAACAGATGTCCTCTAGATGTTTTAGACTGCAACCCCTATCAGCATTGACTGTTCTGGCTGGAGCTGATAGGAATTGAAATCCAGGACATCTGGAGGACACCAGGTTGGGAAAGGTTATACTGGTAAATTTCTGGGCCATATGCACTAGATTAATACGGGTTTCTGATTCCCCTTTGCTTAATAATATCAGCAACAAAAAGCATTTTTGCACCTAAATCAGGCTGCTGAGATAAAGCTTGGGATAATCAGGAGTGGGCTTTTGTGTGTGCTGGAGATCAGTTCCTTTGCTCAGACCATGTTCACTGGAACCCTTCTTTAAAATAATTTTTGCATCTGGCTTTGATTCATGGCAATCGGGATTCTACTATAAAAAGTGATCCTGACAAGCCTGCAGTCTTCCCATCTCCTGCCCAACCCACAGTAAAGGATTCCTCTTTCTTAATATTAACCACATTAGTTATTTATTCTAAGGTTATTTACATTTTAATGGCTTCTGTATAAAACTGTCCTGACAAAGCATCAAAAAGAGATGCAATTAAAATGTTAAAATAGTATCCGCATCATCTTGGGCGGAAAAAAAGAAAGCTGCTGCCTTTGTGTTTTTGTGAGGTTGATTATTTTGTGTTTGTGCCAGAAATACTGTTTGGCCCCTCAACTGTTTAGTGCCCCAGTGTAACTTTGGCTGTTTGGCTGCCACTCTGATCTGCTGTCCTCATTTTTTCTAACCCCTCTTACATAGGTTGCTTGGCAAAATGGTTGCTTGCTGTAATAAGGTCAGGAAAGTGGGGAAGCCCTTCCCTTACTTTAAAAGGCAAGGTGCTTCTTCCTTAATGGTACCATACTATTTTCTAGATTCTTCTTATATTTTCCCTGCTAGTTCTTTTTTTAAATTAAATTCTTCAGTGCATTGTTCAGTTTTATATTTGTTACAAGAAAAGTTGAAAAGCTTGTAAAACTTGCACTGAAGCAACTAGGTTGTTTGTACATCTTTGAAGATAACCTAGAAGATGAAACTACTTTTAAATGCAAAATGTGACTGATCTAACTTGTATGCTGGATATTCTAGCGCAGGGGTCTCAAACCTGCGGCCCGCAGGCCAATTGCTGGGACGGGCGGGGCACGGGGGAGGGGCTGCGGGATGAGCGGCCCACCACCACCGTGGTGGTGGAATACTTGATGCGGCCCAGCCTCACCCAGACTCTACTTCCAGCGGCCCCCAGGTAAGTTGAGTTTGAGACCCTTGTTCTAGCGGATGCAGTCACAGTACTACTGAATTATTACTTTACTATTGTTAACTTATTTATATTTTGCCTATTCCCAGTAATAGGATTCAAGGCAGCTTAGAACAGTTAAAAACAGTTTTAAAAATAAAAACATAAACAGAAATATATAAATGTTTAAAGTACAATTAAATCAGTAAAATATTAAAATTACATAAAATACCCAAATTAAGAATTTTAAATATATGTAGAATAGAGCTCATCCAACACAGTCTCACAGGCCTGAACAGTTCCCAAACAGCTTTGAAATACATGAGGGAGAGTGCCAGTTTAGCCTCCCTGGAAAGGTTGTTACAAAGCTTTAGGGCAGTCTCAGCAAAGGTGTCTTTCGTATTCCCACACATCCAGCCTGTGAGGTAAGACTAAGAGAAGGACCTCCCAGAACATGTTAGAGTGTAAGGAGGCTCATAGGGGAAACTTTGCTCTTTCAAATAGCCTGTGCTTGAGCTTGAATTGTGCCTGCAGACTAGTAGGAAGTGAAGCTCTTTTGGCATAGGAGATGTATGCTCCTTGTAGGCTGCCCTGGCCAGCAGTCCAGCAGCAGCTCTCTAAACCAGCTGGAGTTTCAGAATACTCTTCTGAGGTTGCTCCATCCAGAGTGTGTTACGGTAATCCAAATGGGGTGTACACATGTTTCTCTGTGTCAAATCAGACATTTCTAAGAGTGGGTGCAGATGGAGCATTAGTTTTAACAGTGAAGATGCACTCATGGCCACTGCTGAAACCTGGATATGTAGGCTCAGGTTTCACCCCAGATATACACCCAAGTTGCAGACGTTTGTTTTCAGGGGGAGTGTAACCCCATCCAATTTAGTTTGAATCTCTGTTTCTTGATCTGTCTTTCAATTGATCAAGTGTATCTCAGTCTTGTTTGTACAGTGGTACCTTGGCTCATGAACTTAATCCGTTCCAGGACTCTGGTCATGACCCAAATTGGTTGTGAGCCAAGTCAAATTTCCCCATAAGGTTTAATGTAAATTAACGAATTTTAATTCATTCTGTAACTTTTTTTTTTATCACAAAAATTTGAAGTGGGTGCGCTCGGGGGGGGGGGATGGGTGGACCTGGGGGGAAGGTGAGCGTGATTGGGGGGAGACTGGTGCGATCACTGGCACGCTGGGGGGAAGGTGGTAGCCAATGTGGGTGCGCTGGGGGAGGAAGTGGGTGCAATCGCAATCACCCGCTGCGGAGTTTGCGACCCAAGGCAAAATTTTTCAAAAATTTCTGTTCGCGACCAGATTTGGTTGTGAACTGAGGCATTTGTGAGCCAAGGTACCACTGTATTTAGCTTCAATTTGTTTGCCCTCATCCAGTCCATTATTGCCAATAGACATGGATTTAGCACCAAAACAGCTTTCCTGGCATGAGACGAAAAGGAGAAAAAAGAGTTGTGGTCTGGGTCCATCCTTTTAGGAACGAATGGAACTTCTGTAAGATAATACCTTCAGTTCTCATCCCAGTGAAGCAGCTGGGAAAGATATCATAATCAGTGGTATTAAAAGCCACTGAGATGTCCAGCAGAACCTATAGGGGCACACTTCTTTCTAGTTCCCAGAGAAACAGTTTCCATTCCATATTCAGGTCTGAAGTCAAATTGAAATGGATCTAGATATTTTTTATTTATTTATTTATTTATTATTTATTAAAACATTTTTATGCTGCCCCATTCTCCAAAGCCTCGGGGCGGCTTACAACAATAAATCCAGGAAACCCTGGAATTGGAAGGCCACCACACCCTTTAGTGCCTTGCCCAAAAGTGCAATTTTGGAGACTAGTTGTTACTTACCTAATACCATGGGATTCAGGGAAGGCCTTTTTGGCATGGGTTTCATCATTCTCTTTTGACTAAAGGAGGTGTTAGCCACTCAGCCAGTCCCCTTCTGGCTACTTTTACAAGCCAGGAAGGCAAGGATCCAGAACACACATTGTGGCTCTCGCCTCTCCTGTGATTCTGCCCTCACCTTCAGGCTATACAAATTGAAAAGTATCCAATAACATGGGACAAGTTGGAGCCAAAGTTACATCCATTGGGACTGTACCAACTGCAGCATCCAAGTTGGAGTAGCTCCAAGTGACTTTGTCTGCAAAGCACTGAGCAAGTAGTTTCCAGTGATCTGAGTCCTCCTTGCAGGTCAGTGTATAAAAGATCCTTGACCACCCTGGGTAGATCTTTGCAGGTGCAGTAATGGCAGAAAAGAATCTCTTTTTTGCTACTTGTTTTGCCACAGAGTAGGCCTTCAAATAGGCTCTAGCCTGTGATTGCATTCATTCTGAGTTGCTTCTGACATAGTTGTTGTCTTACTCATTTTATTGTAGCCAGTTCCCTACAAAAACAAGGTGATGGGGTGGCTCTGCCTCATGAGAAGTAGGCTTTACTATTTACTAATGAAATTATCACAAAATCCTATGCATGGCTGTAATACTATGCATGGCTGGTCGGGGATTGCTGGGAGTTGTAGCACTCTTTTCAGTCTAAACAGGCATAGGATTGAGCCTTCAAAGTATACTGCAGCTGCAATGGCTTAGTGCTTGTAGGAAGAATAAGAATCAGTTATACAAGTAGTGCAGATTTTATTTAAATTCAGCCACAAATATTTGTTGTATTACAGTGTATCTTAAATAGCACTACTTTCACATGCTTATTGCAATTTATAGGATGTATTTTTCCTTTGTGGAAACAAAAGCATTAACAAATTTTGGAAGGGAGGAAGATGTTTGTTTTCTGTTATCCCTGCCATGAGTCAAGAGAATTATTGTTATTATTAAACTTATATACTGCTAGATTGGCCTAAAGCACTCTAAGCGAATGACATTGGATACTTCAGAAGGGTATGTTTAAGGTCTAGTGTTCACACATGTTAGGAACAGTAGTAAGTTCTATGTAGTGCAAGTACAGTAAGCTCCATTTTGGACTGTATATTTCAGGTTCCAAACATGTTATAAAGTGGACTTGTGCCACCTAATTGTACTACCTTGGTTTTTCTTTGTAAGAGTCATCAGAGGCTCTCTTGTAACACATTTTTCAGTCTTAGACAGCTCACTGTAGAACAGCATCTTTTTAATCCATATCTTTTTCTTGCAAAGAACCCAAGGTACCTTCTATAACCCTCTCCATTACATCCTCAGAACAACCATGTAAGGTGGGTTAAACTGATAGTCACTGGCTGAATTCACACATAATGCTAAGCAGTGCAGAGCAGTTTGTGTGGCATGTTTTATTTTACCTTGTGTCCTGGGTTCAGACATTTCTGTAGTTCCTATGTATGCTTCTCCATCTTTCCTCCAAATAGTGGCACATATCCAGTTAGCCCCTGCAGCACAGAATCAATCGCAGGTTGCATCACTCCTATCTGTGTCACTTGCCTTTCCCTCATTAGCCCATGCATTCCCCTGGGCATGTCCTCAACCAGTTGCTTTTTTGGATTGTTTTTCTAGCTGTTCTGTGAAGCAACTGCCTACTTGCTAGCATAGCACTGCTGATCTAGATGAGCATGGCAGAAATGCTCGGCACTGCTGCCCTGCTGTGCACAATCAGGCAAACACACCCACCCACACATCCATTTCTCCCCCTCCATGCTGCATGTGTGTTCACACTTTTCTTTGCATAGGACTAACTGCCAGGGTCTGTTACTCAGGCAACATGGAGGGTATTTGCACGAATAGGCCATGCCAGGGACAAAGGGAACACAACCTGCCAGAAAGACTTCACTGACGATACCTGTGTGGCCTTTTGCCTGAGAAGGTTTTTCAAGTGGCCAAAAGGAATGTTGTCATGCAGTTGTGGCAGGAGGCAGTGGGGCCTGTTGACAGCCCTCAGGAATGCCAGGGATGACATAGGAGTAGCAGGGAGGGTAGAGAACCTGGGTTTCTCAGGTTGATTGCCCTGATGGCTGGAGATGATGCAACCTGATGTCCTGTTGTTGCCAGTATTCCAAAGTTGCATGGGGAAAGCTGCTGCTGGAGGAAAAAAGTGTCACAAAGCAGGCAATCGTAGCACAGCTGAACCTGCCTTCATTGCTAGGCAAAACAGTAAAACAATTGAGGTTAGAGGCTCAAAGAGAAGATGAGAATGGTGCTTCTGCTAAGTAAATGGCCAGTATTTCAAGAAAGTGTGGTGTTGTAGTAGTGGGGGACTTCAGTTACTGGGGTTTCTGTTGGGAGACAAAGTCTGCCAAAAGTGGCTCCTCTGAGAAATTCTTAACACACATGGTGGATAACTTTTCTTGTACAGAAAGTGGAGAAGGGAACTAGAGGAGCAGCTATTCTCTACTTAATACTGATAGGGACAAAGTGGATAGTTGATAAAGTTACAGGAACTCTGGGAAAAAGTGACCACAGCATACTTGAAGTCTTGATTTTAAAGGAAGCAAAAATGCAATATAACTATACACATATTCTGGACTTTAGGAAACTGATTTTAATAAACTCAGGACAATGATAAGTGGCAAGTGACCCTAAGGAAAAAGGAGTCCAAGACAGGTGGGAGTTTTTAAAATAGAAACTTTAAAAGGCACAATTACAATTTCAATAAAAACAAAAGATAGATGACAAAAGAAACTGGTGTGGCTCTTCAGAACACTTCAAGTTGGACTAAAAAAAAGGAGATGTACTGGAAGTAGAAGGAAGGCCAGGTGACAAAAGAAGAGTACAGATAGGTAGCACAGAAGTTCAGGAGTGAGATCAGGAAGGTTAAAGCTGAAAAGTGAGCTGAGGCTAGCAACAAAAAAGCCTTTTTTTGGGTATGTTCACACTAAATGACAGAAAAGAAATGGTGGTTCAGCTTCTCAGTGAAGAGGGCAAATGGATAACAGATATCAAAGAAAAGGCCAAAGTGTTTTCTTCCTACTTCTGCTGAAGCTTTTCCAAAAAGCAGATCTGTGACTGTCCAGGCAGAAATGAAATATAAACTGAAGAGTTGAGACTGAAGCTTGAGATTAATAAACAAATGATCAAGGAACACCTAATTTCTTTGAATGAGTTCAGATCTCCAGAGCCTGATGAACTCCACCCTAAAATAATTAAAGGATCTAGCAGAAGAACTCTCAGAACCACTATCTTTTTTTTGAGAAATCATAAGTGGCAGATGACTGGAAAAGGGCTAAAGTCGTCCCTGTCTTCTAAATGACAAAAAAGAGGATCCTGGGAACTACAGACCAGTCAGTCTGCCATCAATACCTGGAAAAATTCTGGAGCTGATTATAAAGTCAATCTGCAAGTACATCACAGACGGTGGAATAATTACTAGAAGCCAAAATGAATTTTTCAAGAAAAATCTTTCCAAGCTGATTGCTCTTATTTTTTGATTGGGTAATCTCCCTTGTGGATTGTGGGGATGCTGAAGACATCTTGATTTCAGCAAATTTTTTGGCAAAGTGCACCATGACAATACACTTCTGCATTTTTATGAATTATTTGGACAAAGGTTCAGGAAACACTGATCAAATTTGGAGATGACAGAAAATTGGGTGGAATAGCTAATATACTAGAAAATAGAAACAAAAGTGATCTTGACAGGCTGGAGCGCTGGTCTGAAAGCAAAAGGATGAAATTCAGTAGGGACAAATGTCAAGTTCTACACCCAGAGGAAGGGAACCAAATGCACAATTGCAAGAGGAGAGATAATGGTTCAGCAATGCTTTAAGTTGGAAAGATCTTGGAATTATTGTAGATCACTAGTTGACTAAGAGTCAACAATGTGATGTGGCTGCAAAAAAAGTAAAGGTTATTTTGCATTACATTAACAGAAGTATAGCTTCCAAATCACATGAGGTACTTGTTCCTCTCCATTCAGTGATAGTTAGGCCCCATCTTGAGTACTGTGCACCATACTTCAAGGAAGATGCTGGCAAACTAAAAAAAAATTGCAGAGGAAGGCAACAGAGACAGTCCAGGGACTGGAACAAATCCATTTGAGGAGAGGTCGAAATAACTGGACATGCTTAACTTGGAGAAGGGAAGACTGCAAGGAGATATGATAGGACTTTTCAGATACTTGATAGGCTGTCACATAGAGAAGGGCACTTTATCTGTCATCTCAGAGTGCAGGACTAATGGAATAATGGGCTCAAATTACAGGAAGCTAGATTCTGGCTGGACATCCAGAATAATTTCTTGACTATTAGAGCAGTATGATAATGGAACCAATTACCTTGGGAGATTTTGGGCTCTTCTACATTGGAGGCATTCAAGAGGTAGTTGGACAGCCATCTGAGAAAGATGGTTTAACTTGAGTCCTACACTAAGCAGGGGATTGGACCTGATGGTCTTCTTGGCCCCTTCCAACTCTAGTATTCTGTGAAGTCTGGGAATGTAGTTGCTAGGAATTCATAAAAAAGGAACAGCAGAGGGAAACAGCTTGGTTATCCCTGCTTGAAGATACTTGAGGTGCTTTTGGGTAGTGGTGTCCTACCCCTTTTTTCATACTGGAGCAGGAAAGGCCAGTGACTGTATGTGTTTCTGGTTTGGCTCTGGCTAGTCAGAGTGTTCCAGCTACAACATGACCCAAGCCTTCCTCCAGATTTGGATCTATGGAAGTGCAGGGATTTCAGGTATTAGCACAGTTGCCATCCAATTCTTTTCCACTTGTGTTTTGTTTGCTATATGGAAAATAATCCTTCTCTGTGTGCATGGAAAGTTAATTGTTCATATATTTTATGCAACTAAGTGTTACCTATGTTTTTTTGAAAAGGAATCTAGGACTCTGGCTGAAATAGCAAAGGCAGAACTTGATGGAACTATTTTGAAGAGCAGACCTCTACGAATTCGATTTGCTACTCATGGAGCTGCTTTGACTGTAAAGAATCTTTCACCTGTTGTTTCTAATGAACTTCTGGAGCAAGCTTTCTCTCAATTTGGTCCTGTGGAAAGAGCTGTTGTTGTTGTTGATGATCGTGGCAGAGCAACAGGGAAAGGCTTTGTAGAATTTGCTGCAAAACCTCCTGCACGTAAAGCTCTGGAACGATGCAGTGACGGTGCATTCTTGCTGACAACGTAAGTTTATTTCTGTCAATTTCATTGTGGTAAATGTTATTCTAGTAGGTCCCATTATTTAGTCTCGATTTCTCTTTTATCTAAAGAAGCTGATGGTGACAACAGCTTCAGTGAAAGGTTTCATACCTATTTGTAGATGTTCAGTGAAAAATGTCCAGGGGAAGATGGGTTCTCTTAATTCCCATCCTGCTTTACAGACCTTTACTAAATAATCACCATTGCATTTTGCAAATAAGACTTTCAATTATGTATCATATTTATATATTTATTTATTGAAATGCAAACCTGTGTTACATTAAGAGATCTCAGGATGGTATATCATGACTAAAAACAATTTGACATAGAATTATAAAAGCACAGTAAAAACTCTATAGTCCAATATAAAATTCATAAGGATAACTCATAATCAAGCTATGGTCACTAAGATCCAAAAGCTGGGATGAATACCTAGGTCTTTATGTTGCAGCAAATGAAGCCAGACCTCCAGTGGGATGACATTTCATGACCCTGGGCTACAGCTGAGAATGCAGTCCCCCTTGCAACCTTATTTAATGTAACCTCCAATGGTGGGATACAGAGGAGGGTCTCCTAGATAGATCTTAATACTTGGGCAGGTTTATATAAGGGGAGAAGCTTTGCTAAATGCTGTGGTCCCTAGCCATATAGAGCTTTGAATCCCATTATTAACACTTTGAACTTAAAACTGGAAGCATATTGGAAACAAGTGTAGTTAAAGTTATGCTGAATATTTACTGTACTTTATTTCACTTCATTTATTATGATTCTATAGCACTCAGAAGTGAAGGTCACCCTTTTGGCACTGTAGATACCACATTCTGCACTAGTTGCATTTTCTATGTTATCTTCAAGTACAGTCAGTCCAGAATAAAGTATTGCAGTGACCTGGATGGAAAGTTACCACTGCATAAACTGTTGTGGTCTTGTTATCTCTATCCAGGAAAGTTGTAGCTGGCAGGCCAGGTGAAACTGGGCAAAAAAGCATTCCAGGGCATTGAAGTGACTTAAGCTCACAAGTAGGTCAGAATAGATGGCCTGGGAGGGCCCTTCTGACTCACTATGTTTCTGTGTCTCTATAAGAATATAAGAAAACCATGCTGTATCAGACCAAGAGTCTATCTAGTCCAGCATTCTGTTCACACAGTGGCCTGTCAGCTACCCATAGGAAACCCATAAGCAGAACATGAATGAAGCAGCAGCCTCCCATCCTTGCTCATGAGCATCTGGTGTACATGGGTGTAGTACTACAGAGGCTATTTGAGCCTTCAGTAACAAGGATGAATGTAGCAGTAACTGTGAAGCTTTGTGTGTAAATGTTCCTGCAGTAGGAGTGCATTCCCATTTAGGCTAGGTTGCTTAACTAATTTCCAAATTACAAACCATAATTCAGTTTATTAGCCTTCGTACCAGTATTCATTGGGACAACATGAGTGGAGTGGCATGGAGACCCATGGAGTGGGTCTCTCACTTCTAATATTAATATTTGAAAGATAATGTACTTTCTACATTAACCAGAATGTTTAGTATTCACAGTTGTTAAGTGATTCAGTATTATAAATACACATCTAATTATTGACACTAGCAACAAAGCCACAAGGTCTGTTCTTTACGTGACCTCAGAGGATACACTATATATTTGATAAGGTATTTAATTAAACACTTTAGTATTTTAGAAAATATTATATACAACATATTGCATTACTAAAACAACAACATTTATGACTGAATAAAGCTAGGTTAGAGTTTACACTCTCATCATAAGTACATTACAAGCTTTGTATTTGTATTAAGTCTGCCTTAAGCATGTCCTATGTTTACCCACAAAAAAAGTTATTCTCAGTCACAATCAGGATTTCTAGTAATTACTGGGGAGGAAAGTAAATATCCATGTATTTTGATAGGTGGAGTTATACATACATAGAGTATTGACTGAATCAATTAATTATTTTCTGCCTTGGTGTTTATACTATGGTGTACATGATCAGTATTCCATCTGTTTTGCAAACATGCTCCACCTAGCATACTTGCTGAAGTAGTCACTCCTCCTTTGACTTTTTCGTATTTTGCTGCTGCATTATAACATGGGATTGGGAAACTGGTCAGTATTGAATACAGGATGAATGCAGCAAAATCTAGAGGACAACCTCTTTCATTCTTCAGGGGTTCTGGGGCAGAATTTCATCTCCCAGCAGGAAGTGAACCCTAAACACACAACCAAAGTAACACTGGAGTGGTGTAAAAAGAAGAATCTGAATGTCTTAGAATGGCTTAGTCAAAGCTCAGAACTCAATCTGATTGAGAGTATGTGACAAGACTTCAATGTTGCCATTCATCAGCAGTCCTCACCTGACCTGGCGCAAGTGGGGCAGTTTTACCAAGAAGAATGATGTGCAAAAATGACATAGACATAACCAAGAAGGCTCACAATGGTAATTGCTGCCAGAGGTATAACCAAGTATTGTATGATGACTAAATTCATTCAGCAGATGCTGGTTTGTTTCTGCTTACTTAACATTTGTGCCACAGTAAGGATGTTTTGTATGTTCACAGTGTTGAATATCTTGCACACATCAAGGGGCAACATTGTCAGTTAAATAGGTTTTATCACAACAAAAATTAGAAAAGACAAAGGAGGGTGTGAATACTTTCTGCAAAGCTCTGTATACTTTCTGCATGGAGATCATACATGCTGTTAGGTAAACTGCATTTTATATTGAAGTTTCACTTTATGGAACTCTGATTTGTTTATTAAAAATGTGTATTTTTTTTTAAAGAACCCCTCGACCTGTTATTGTAGAACCTATGGAACAATTTGATAATGAAGATGGGTTGCCTGAGAAATTAATGCAAAAAACACAACAGTATCATAAGTAAGTGTTACCAATCTATACTATAAAATTTTGAAAAATAAAGTAATTGAGAAATGAGACGTTAATGTTGGAAAGTGTAGGGTTAATTAAAAAAGGCTTGAGTGCTACTTCCAGTACAATAATAGAGGCTTTAAAATCTTTAAAATGGTTTTGTAGACTATTCAGTTACATACTAGGAGAAGGCTTATAACTGATGGACTTATGTTTGTGTCACGAAGTGTGAGCTGCAGAGGTTCAAAATATGAAGGCACTCCAGTAGACTCATCAAGACTTTAGAGACTGATCTGCTTTTCATGTAATGAGAAGCTACTGTGGGCAAGTTTCCTCATGTTTTTTGTTTTTTGTTCTGGTGGCAGCCATTACTATGAACTTCTGAGGCATGGCATCAGCATGCTGTAGCTTCTCTTTCCATGTGAACCTTGCAAGGCTGCATTGTCTGAGCATTTGAGAGAGCACCAAGAACCCATTTATTGTTTTAGGCTTATGGCTCCAAATGTTCAAAATTACTGCTGCAATGAGATGTCCTGCCCATAAATTCACTCACAGTGGCTTTGTTTTATGCGTGATCCAAGCCAGTGTTTCATTTGAAATTGAAGAAGATTGGCTGGACTAGAAGCAATATAAAAGATGGAAATAGCTGTAGTTGTGGAGGAGTGTCATTTTGCCTTCTCCTTCCCCCTTCTGCTCATGCACAGTGCCAGTGGCAACATCCAGTGCTGGTATCTGTTCTCTCACTCAGCAGTAGTGTGAATTGGATCTTGTAGGGATCAGTTTTCTGTCATCTTGAGAGAGATGCCAGATGGTGAAGACTGCTGTGGCTTCTTGCTGCCTTCCCTGCATGTTCATCTGAGGAGGCTCCCTGGCTGGGAGAAAAATGCTTAGAAATAGGTGCTGCAGGATGTTAAGACACTGACAAAGGAAAGTTTCAGCACAGCACATATGTGCCTGCCCTTTAAAAAAAATCACTCCATCCTCCATCCTATGTGTTTGGGCAGTTGTGTGTGCATACACAAAATTGCTGCTTCTAGATCTTGTATGGCCTAAACTCAGAATATATAATTAAAACAATACCTTTTTAATTTAGAAATGTGTAACTTTTTAATTTAGAAAGCTTGAAGGAATTGAAATTGTCCATTTGTATTTTGCTGTCATATTTAAGTAAATCCTTCTATTCATGTGAAATGTGAAATTTCTTAGGGAAAGAGAACAGCCACCACGTTTTGCCCAACCTGGAACATTTGAATTTGAATATGCTTCACGTTGGAAGGCTCTTGATGAAATGGAAAAGCAACAGCGTGAACAAGTTGATAGAAACATTAGAGAAGCTAAGGAGAAACTGGAAGCAGAAATGGAAGCAGCTCGACATGAACATCAGTTGATGCTGATGAGACAAGGTACTTTGCTTTGTTAAGTTTTTTATTGCATAGGTAGAAAGAGCACTGCAAATTGTCTGGTAATCATTCTAAACTGTAGCAGGAAATCTAGAGTCTCCATGCATTTTAGTCTACATTTTCATAATTTTATATACCTCTAGCAGACAGATTTGTCAAGCAAATTAGGCAATGCCAGAGTTACATGTAGGGAAACCATGTCTACAAATTTAAGTGGATTTTAACTTGTTTTATCTATGTTGTAAGCCGCCCCGAGGCTTCGGCGAATGGGGCGGCATAAAAATGTTTTAATAAATAAATAAAATAAATAAGTAAAAGGTTTAGTAGCAAAGCTGTGATCATTAGTTGACATATAACTAATCATTCTTTCTTGTTCTACCTAATACTGAGAAGAACCTTGTGAACCATTATGACCTGGTTCAGAGAACATGATAACGCACAATGGCTAGTAAAAGTGAGTCGTTGTGTTGTTTGAATGCAGTCCAGGTGACCCAGGGTGGGCTGCTTTTTCGAAACGCACCTGTGCATAGGCAGTTCTAGGGTGGTTGTTGCCAGTGGTGGCTTGTTGTATTCCTTGCATCCGGATGAAACAACCCACCATGGGTTAGCCCCAACAACCAGTGAACTGCTTGGTGAAAGCAGCAAAAATCCCTTGGCACTTTACTGGTGGAATTCTGGTGAACATCATTGACAGCAGCCCCCAAATTTTCCAAGTGGCACTTGATGGCTTCTGTTAGAATATGTTGACAGCTTGAATATAGGCCTCTTAGTGTACATTAGAGCCAGAGGAAATCCCTGCAGTCCTGTCCCATGCAGTGGGTTATGATGTGAAGCAAATCGGATAGCCTCTTCATCCTGCTTGAGACAAAACCTCTTTGGCAGGAGATAGGAGCAAGAAGGAGCACTAGGTGCGGTGCCCAGCTAGGTCCCCTGTCCTCCCCATTGTGCTACAGATCACAGACCCTGTTTTTTCTCTTCTTTGTTCCCAAAGCACATATTGGGCTCATGCCCTAAAACACAAGATAAACTTCTAGCCTTAGCTGGGTCAGTGTGCAGGAAGCTACTCATTGCAGGGGGGCAGTGGATATAGCCCTCTGTTTTTTGTTCTACTGGAATTTGTATTGTCCCTCAGTACACAAACCTTGTTTGTTCTCTGGATAATCTCCAAAAGCTGCAACTATCTGAATTCTGGGGCCTCTGGGATATTACCTGGAGGAGCAAGGGGGGGAGAGGGAGAGAAGTACCCAGGATGAGACCAGGTGTCAGCCTTATTGTGGGCACTCCAAAAAAATAACCAAACCACCATGGCTTATTACTGGGATGGGAGAATTCTTTCATGTCTATTTGGCTTATATGAGTTACAGTATTGATAACACTAGTTGGCTGTATATACTCTGATACTTTAGCTAACTTTCACTGAGAAAGCAGTTTGTCTCATAAACAAGTGGCAGGTTCACATTGTTGAAAGTTTAAGCATTACGTTAATAAATATATTAGGGTTAGAAATCTGTTGGATGATGATTCATACATATAGCATATGTACTTTGCCTAAAGAGTTCTGGTGGCATATATGTTGCTAATATAATGTTCCAGTCATAGTATTAACAGAGATAAAATGTATAAGCAATAAAATGGGCAGAATGGTCTTTTGGTCCAGGGGTCTTATGGGCATCCTCACTGGATTGTACCTTACTAGTGTGTAATTTCTGGTGTTTATGGCTATGGTGATCACAGAATACATGTAAACATTTTGTTACAGTGATCTGCCTGCTTCTGCTTTGCTTTTCACAGATCTTATGAGACGTCAAGAAGAACTGAGACGTTTGGAAGAGCTAAGAAATCAGGAGCTACAGAAAAGAAAGCAAATACAATTGAGGTATACTTCTCTAATGCCAGAAGAATAGTAATTCTTAGATTTAGCAACTCAAAAGTCATGGTTTTGAAACACCTGCAGAACAAGTGATGCAACAAAAATGCACAAAATAAGGTTGTTACTTTCTGTTTTTAATGTGATAAGTCCTTGACAATCCCAGAAGTAAAGGTATTTGTAGCCATACTTGCCAAGTTGCTGCATTTTTGTTTGCATAGTTCATCTTTAATAATGTCTGTTCTTTACTTGTTTTCTTTACTTGCTTTAGTTCTAATAAGTATATAACTATAGGGCATAGTTAGTTTTTGTGTTATAATATTTACACAACACTTTTAATTAATAAATAACAGGATTGTGTACAAAATTTATTAGAATAACAATCAAAATAAAAATGTTAATAACAAAACATCTACTAAGCTAGGAATTAAAATCACCCACTGATCAGTTAACCAGATGTGTCAGATGTGCCAAAACACTATCTAGGTTGGTACTGGTTGCACTGTTGTGAGAAAAGCATTTCAAAGGCAGAAAATCCCCTCCCTCTGGGTGAGGCTGTCGGATGTACCAGAGCAGGTGCCAGGACACTAAATAGGCCATTGTTTATAGATGTCAGTGAATAGGCAGTTTAAAATGGGAGAAGGTATTCACAGAGTAGCCTGTTTGGGGCTTTGTATGTCAACAAGATAATATCAAATCTGATCTGTTAATATATTAATATCTTTTATTAATATTATTAATATATGTTATTGTAAGCCATCCTGGGATGATTTCCGTGTAGGACGGGGGCAAAATATTTTAAATAAATAAATGAATATTGGTAGCCAGCACAGTTCTGAGTAAATGTGCAATATCTTTGCAATAGGCTGCCCATTTGTCAAACATGACTACCAAATTCTTCGCTTCTGCAGTTTCTGCAACAGTCTAAGAGGAAACCCTTACATAGAATGCATGGCAGTAACCCATTCTTGAGGTAACTGGTGCATGAATCACTGTGGCCAGATCATCCCTATCTTGGAATGGCTGTAGCTGGTGTAGTAATTGAGTAGAAGGAACTGCCAATCATAGTAATTTATGAACTTTAAAAATGTTTACAAGATCATTGCATATCTTATTCCATTGAGTTCCAATGAGTACAAAGGAAACTGACTGTTAATAGGTTCTTAGTTGAATTAAGTAGCATGTATCAGCCATATTACACTGACACAAAAATGCAAAGGAAGTAAAAATAGTAGAAGGATGCAGTTCTTTAATTGTAGAAGAGTTTTGGATGCATATGTGAATTTGGAGGGGAGAGGGGTTTTTGCATGAAACTATATAATAAGCATCTTAGAAAGATGTATTCTGTGTATAATATTTAGACATGAAGAAGAACATAGGCGTCGTGAAGAAGAGATGCTGCGCCAGAGAGAACAGGATGAATTGAGGAGACAACAGGAAGGATTTAAGCCAAATTTCATGGATAATGTAAGTAAAACTTTTACTGACTAAAATGAACACTTGAGATTTTTGTAGTGTCTAACAAAGCAGAAGTAATCATTTTCCTTTCTTCATATACTTTTTTCTCTATTATAACTTTACGTCTTTAAAAGTTGCTTCTGGAATCAATGGAAAAATCTCATAAATTTCCATAATATAGTGACTACATTTTTAAGGTAATGCAAATGCAAATCTTTTCTTTTTTGTATCATTTACTATATAAGACTTGGGTTCTAAGTAATACACTTAATAGGAGGAAGACAGTAGAGGTGCCTAGAAAACCATTAGAATTGAGAAATATGTTCAGAAAAAACACATGCCCAGCTCTCCTGGGACATGAACATTTTTTCACCTGTAATTTCTTTGGTCAGAATTGCAGAGTTGCATTTGTTTAATCTTATTTTCCTGCCTTGAGAGGCTTTGCAATACATAAGTTAACACATGAAAGCTTGAATATAGGATACTTTCTACCATTCTTTTTGTCACCTGTGTGAACACCAGGAGAAGTAGAGAAATAATTAAGTGTAAGGCCCTGTAAGTAAATCTTTCTATGAAGAATTGCCAAATACTAGCAGTTATGCTAATACCACATCTCTGAAATAGCTGAAAGCGTAAGCTTTCCTGTGTGTTTTACAAAATAATATTAGGACATAATTTCATAAATAAGCTAACTTAACAATAGCACCTGAGGCAAAAATTAAATGTGCAAGAATGAAAGGGATTGGAGGTACAAAAAGGAAAAAAAAAACTTCACAGGAGTGCCATTTGGATCCAGTTGAATTCATCCTTCAGCTTCATCTGTGAAAGGAGCTGTTTATTGCTACAGAATTTATTTGACTGTAGGAAGATAAATGAGCTCCCTCTTGTGTTTCAGAACTGTAATTCATTTTAGGAGATAAATGCTGTAATCATATGCATTTTACCTTTGAGTAGAGCTATTTGGTGCCATGAAAAGAAAACATTTTCTTCAGGCAATGTTACCTGCCGTGCCTCATTTGTTTGGGCCATCTCTACCATATTTAAAGAATTATAAATGTCTAACACTTTTTGAGGGAATACAGGACAGCTAAAACAGGAAGCAGCATATATAAAGTCTTCCATAATTTTAAAGGAGAAAATAATTCATAAGCTTTTAACTACCTCTCAGATTTCCAGTAGAATTGTTTAAAAGCTTTTAAAGAATAAAGAATGCCCCTCATTTTCTATCATTTTCACAGATCACTTCCCTTTTACTAGAATTTCATCTCTGTGGATAGCTAGGAGGGTCCTGTACAGTATTTTTCAAACTAACATCTCCTTCTTAGGTTTATATGGAGTTGGATGTACTCTTTAGGTAGATTGGGTTAAAAATAATAAAACAGCCAGTTTTTGCAATGTTCACACAGTTCAATCATAGGATTTTTTTTTCTGTCCATTCTCTTAAGAGGTGTTGTAGCTGTTTTATTACCCACTGTATTTGTGCTGTTCTAAAGCTTGTTCCTGTGATTGTCCAGTTACAGTAATATTGAACCTTTATTCCTTCATCTTCTCAAGGTGGTTAATAATTGTGGCAAGATTTGTAAAAGGTAGAATTGTGCTCTTGCTGTTCACCCAGGAGTTGCTAAGATCTATGAAAAATCTTCATATCACCTCTTGGAAATTGTTTTTCATTATGTTTTTATGTTTTATTTTGTTTTAGTTATGGTTGAGGAAGGTTGACAAGTTAGTGACCTAATCTAGGTCTGGTTCGTGCATGCTGTTCAGTGTTTGATGCCTGCAGCAAAATATGTGTGACTGCTTCTGATGAAAAATGTGAAGTGGCATGAAAATGCTGTTTTGTGTTGAGCTGTGCTCACACATGCAAGTCTTCAACAGCTATGTTTGAACTCCTCATAAAGGAAAGGTTTAGTCACTAAGAAGTATGAAATGGCACATATTATTTTTGCATTTTATTTAGCATAATGAGATTATGCTAAAGAGGGGTGATGAGGTATGGTGTACTTAAATCATTTTTTAATTTTACCCACCCAGATCTTCATGGTTAGGGTGTTTTTGAAACCCAGGAACTATTTAGAAATCTAGGTATATTAATTTATAATTCCATTCTTACATACATTTGCAGTATGCAAAAGGAAACTACTTACTGGTTCATACTATATGATCTTAACTTATCTAAGGTAAGAAATGTAATTACTTGAAAACTGTGTTCTGGATGGTATAGAAAATACACTATTTAACTGATGAGAATAATGGAGCATATAGCTGCATGATCAGGAAAAAAATAATTCAGTTTGTCATCTTACTTCAAAATTTTCATCTTCTTAAAGCTGTTGGAAGATGGTAGATTTGTGTAATTGAATTGTTCTTGTAGCAGCAATTGAAATTCTTTTGGGCTAATAACAGGAACAATAGTTTTAGCCACTTTATATAAATTTGATATGAAATTCATGTTGTATAATAAATTTTTGTGGGAATGTGGAGTTGCTGTGCTCAAAGTCGTTATTTTTATTCCTGAGTTTCTAATTATTTGATTTTACAGTTTTCTGATCAACAGTGTGGAATTATTCAGCTGACATTTGTTTGCATCCTGTTAAAGTATCACACAACATCTTATGTTTCTTATAGCTGTAGCACTTGGTTCACTCGCCCTATTTTTATACAGAGCTCTGTTTATGAAGGGACTTGATTTTCTATATTTACATTGAAAAAATAGCTTTTTATTGAATTGAAGGAGTTCTGAAGCACTACTTGCATACTTGCAGAGTCAAAACGTTTAATTTGTTTTGTTGCCTTGAAGAGTCCATATTTTAATCTATAAAATGTCCATATTATTCCATAAATATGGGCAAAACTGCCCTTAGCATTAATTTTAGTGAAAAGGCAGGATATAAATTTGATAAATAAAACTGTGCCCCCGGGGGGGGGGATCTAGATCAATCAAATCTCAATTGCAGGAGTTTATCTTAATGTCTTTCTTAATGTAATATTTGTACTGTAATAGTTATACCTTATTTGGTTGAATATTTAAACAGCTTCCAAGTGACTTCCTAAATACCTATTATTTTCATCACTGAAATCAGAAGGGAGACCACCTAGCAAGCAGCCTCAGTAATACGCCCCTAGTTGTACCATGGCTGTACCATATGACTGCTGCCTAGCATATCACTATATTGTTTTTTCCCTTCTGTCCTCAGATCCTGCTGTGAGTCAGCATAGATTAATTTCCCATGGAGCTAGGGAACTCTTATGAAGCTGCAAGAAAATGAACAGCTGAGGGAAAGGGTGGAGAAACTGGGACAGAGTGAGTGAATGTATGATTGGGTGAATGAGGAAGGGGAGATAATAATCCTGTCCAGAATTACTTGGAATATTGTTATAGCTTTTGCTCTAAAAATGTTTCGGTTTGTGGATTTTGAGTTTGACTTCTGGTAAGCATGTTTCATCTATCAGTTTATACTACAATATAAAAAGGGACAAATAAGTATTCTGTCTTAACCCTTTAGCTTCAGTTAACTAGGCTAAAACATGTTTGACACATTATTGCATTAAGTTTTTAAGGGCTGTGGAGTGCTAGTCTTAACATTTCCTTTTCAACTCTCACGTGTAGTATCTAGTTTTACTGCAAAATTAAATTTAATAATCTATTAACAAATTAATTAAATTTGTTTTATATGTTTCAAAGAACTTTTTAACATGTTTCTTATTCTTTAATTATTGAAAATTAGTCCAGCTAAAATGTCACCTTTCACTATTTGGCTTTAAAGGGAGACATAAATGGTAAGTTCATTGCATCATTTAGAACCTCCATAAGAATCCATGTTTTGGGCTTGTAGTGACTTTGGAAATGTGTGGAATGTACAAATAATAAAAATGTATGAATTTCATTTTCCAAGTTACCAGTTGAAGTAGGAGGAGGAAAATCTGTAGGTTAGAACTGAGACTCTTGACTTCAATAATTCCTGAAAAGCAAACAAAGCAAAGTCAAAACATGTTATTGAACCCCAGTAATACTTGGATGCTATTCACATGTACATAGTTTGCTTGTCAGACTATAGTTCCTGGGTTAAGCAACTCCGTTAATCCAACAGCAAAAACAGGGCAATTTTTGAGTTATCTCTGGTTATTCCAACCCAGGAATAACCCAGAGTTTCAGGTTTGTATATCATGAAATAACCTTGGGATGTTAACTGAAAGTGTAAATGATGAGCTTGCAGGAAGCAGTGCACATACGACTTGGTGATCCTTGACAATTCCTGGGTTAACTCAGGAATTACAGCATGACATGTGAACAAGGTCATATTCTAAGGTGGTGCTCTTGACTGATAGAAAAATTCCTTTTTTAATTGGTTTGAAGATTGTAACCCCAGTGACTTAGGGTGCAGAACAGAGATATACTCTGAAACTATATTAAGCAGTTAGCTGTTAGCAAGTTTAAAAATTGTTGTGGTGTTGAATAATTGTGCTTTAATGGGACATTTTGAATGTGTGTCCCCCCTCTACACCGCTCCAGATGATTTATTGGCAGTTTTTGTTCCAAACTATTTTAATCAATTCTTTAGTTCAAGGAACATTTATATTGAGTCACTGGTACCAAATGTGCTGCACACATGTGACTCTGACAGTTATCTATGTTTTTATAATTAGCTGTAAGAATTTCCATGATAGCACCTTTAACTTTAATAATAATTCCACAGTAAAAGTTACTTCTTGATACATAAGATGTAAAACAGGACTTAGTTTTATGTACTTTGGAGTTGTTTCTTTTTAAATCTATTTGTAATTGAATAGTTTTAAAAAATTGTCTTAGGCAAAGCTAGTGAAAATGAAATATGCAAATTGCAATATTAAATGTCTGGTATTTTCTAGCCATACAAATTAATACTTAAAAGTAAATCCTGTCTTTAAAATGACTATGTCATCTTTACAGTGTTTAATATATGTTTGGAAGTATCATGAACAATTTGAAATTCTAGAAGAAACATGTCAATAATTTTCTATTCATGTCAATG